AAAAATAGATAGTGGCTTCCTTTAGCCACCGTGGTGCTGATTTAAAGTATTTTATTGTGCATTCACTTCAAAAAAGATAAGAGAAGTTTTAATAATAAAACTAGGATTTAACGATTCGTCTGATTCATAACAGGTGACGGTCCTTCATCCAGTTTTCATGAAATATGTTCATGACATCTGGCTGAGAAAGAAGACTGCTTACTGGCTTTCTTACTGTGGTTCTCAGTTTAAAGATGTGTGATGAGGTATGTTTATCTTACACATTTTGTGTTTGTCCATTATGCATCTGACTCACAGTCATGGTAGTCAGACGCCAAGACACACTGACTAACCAGCAATGTCAGGAAGAAATGTATTTATGAAATGTAATTTATGAAAATGTATTTATTGTTATTACTTGATAGTGCACCACTGATTGTGTAGTTGTTAACACATTGGATTGGCAATTGAAAGGTTGCTGGTTTGATTCCAGCTGGAGATACGCATGGCCTTTTGGGGTTGTCTGAAAGGGCATCCAACATAAAAAGCTCTTCCACATCAAAAATGCAGAGCTACCCACTTGTGTCAAGCCAGAAATAGTTTTACATAACTCTCTGATAGCACTGTATAGTGATGCCTTAGTACTTAGTACTGACCAAGTAAAGACAGGACCAGTGTTGGAGTTGAGCAGACTCAACTAACACTTTCAACTTATAAAAGCAGCGTATTCATGCCCATGTAGGGGAGAACAGTGTGATGTGACCTTTGAGCCGAATGTATTATAAATATATTAGCATAATAATAATGTAAATATATTCTAATGATCCTTTAACTTCGCATTTTTTCATGGAATATATAGGTGTGTATATCTAACCCCAACTTAAACCCTCGGTCAGGAGTCATCCACTATATTTGTCCATGGGCTAAAGTTTTCTCAGCAGACACTGTGAGGGTCAGATGCTCTTGTAAAATAAAATTAATATTTTATCTTGGGCACCATATTAGTATTTGATTAAATTAAATTTCTTTCCAATTGCATGTTAGCCTTTGTCAGCATTAACAGACTCACATTAACTGTAGTGCAGCAAGCAGCTAGGGGGCAATTAGGATATTTTGGCTTCATATTTGTGATGCTGTTAAGCTATCCAGCAGTGACACATCTAGTGTTGTACACTGGCATGAGAAAGGAGTTCTGAATATGTTCTAAATATATATATATATATATTCTGGCACTCTCAACGAGACTCAAGTGGAAAGTTAAAGCAGAAAACCATAGCTTTAATGAAGAATGGACTGGTAAATATGTATTCATGGTGCCAACTTGTATAAATGCTGTTTGCTATGAAACCGTCACTCTCCCAAAATAAAATATTCTGAGGTGTCAGCACAACAAAAAACATGCAAGCTTCAAATAGTCATACCCTAAACAGGCCCAAACTGTTGCTCTGACATCTCAATACTCATAGTACTAACCAAACTTCAAATGAACAAGAGAGGATAACAAGTACATTTCTGCAGGCTGCCTGGACAGTCTCCAAGCATAATTAGCCATTTACAAGCTAATGTGAGGAAGGTGATGCCTCTGGCCAAGGTGGCTCTGTTGATGTTATTGAAACCACAACTGTGTGCTACTGTGTGTGTCCTGCAGGCCACCAGCTGACATTCACTGCCCCAGGCAATCAGAATATGCAAGTTTGATTGTTAATAAATTGTTCCAAGTCTTATCAATCAGGGAACAAAAACATTAAAAAAAAGTCAGTTTACACACATAAAACATGTTAGTGGTTAGGTTCAGGCAGGATCCAAGGAGCAGACTTGAGTCAGAGTTGACAAAAGTAAAAGAGAAACGTATTCTTGAAAAAGTTAAAGTAAGAAAACTGTTTTTTGATGAACAAGTGGCTCTGTTGAGGAAGAAAGTGAATGTTATACAGATATTAAACAGGGGGAAGTTACTGCAGTAAGTAGTGAATTAGTCTGATTCAGTCTTACTTGTTATATCAGGCTGGCTTA